CAGGATGGCTGCTGGCCTACCATGGCTAGTGCCCAGTAGCTAGGTTTTCGTTTAAGAATTCTGCTTATCAGCAGGGAAATCAAAAGACTGGGAGTTAGAGGTGGTACTTCCTGCCTGCTCCATTCAATCTTGCTATATACTGTAATTAGAAGGGTTTTGCTCACTTCCTTGTTTGTTGTGCCTGCAGCAAGAAGAGTTGTTTCTTTCTCCAGGAACTAGTCTGTTCCCAGTAGGGGACATGGCGGAGAGAGGAAGATTTGATACAGAGCCATTGGTGGGGCTCTGTAGGCCAGGGGTATCATCACTCTCCTGATCCTTAAATGCTCTTAAATGAGACATAGAATAACTCAATGATGTTCAAGACAAGAGACACCAAGGACACCACCAGCATGAAGATGATGAAGGTGCTTTTCTCCGGGGGTGAGAGAGGAAGCAGTCCACTTAATGCAGGTAAGGGTCTGGTTTGTGAGTGTAAACCACACTTAGGCTGAATCCATAGACAGACCACAGGATCATCAGGAAGGCCACCTGGAACAGAGGCCTGAAGACAAGACCAATGGTACACGTTCGCAGCAAGCTCCCTGGGGTTTTCACCTTTCTGTGTTTCTCAAAGCCACACTTGAACTTCTTTATTTCAATTCCCTGCAAGTGCATCTCCACACTAACATCAGCAGTTTGGGCAACTTCAAGTTCTCCCACTTGCCTGTTCAACTTCTCTTTGCATCACGTAGAACATGTGTGTCAGGTACAAGAGTCGGGGCAGAGACAAAAATATTGTCTGCAGAACCCAGGAGTGGACATGAGACATTGGCAAAGACTAGTCATAGCAGACATTTTCCCAAACAGGCTGTTGAGTGTTACAATGAAAGGCAAACCTCTCATCGTCCCAGGCTGACTCGATTGCAGTCCCCAGGAGCAGGATTCAGGAAATGAAAAGGACTGACAGCCACACCTTCCCTCCAGCTTGGGACAAAGCTAGAACCTTCTCTAGGAGGTACCAGAGGCACTCCAGTCACCCACTTGCCTGTTTGCTGTTAGTTCGCTTAAAAAAAGTGAAGTAGGCATGCCAAATGATTGAACTCACTGGAGGACTAAGTAAAATGAAAAAAGTTAAGTTCAAGCAGTCAAAAACTGTCTCAAGTTCAAAAGTCTGCTGCTGTTTGGTAGCTTCCTCACTCCTCCCTAATGGAAGAAAATTGCTTTTTTTCTTTCACCAGGTAGAAGTTTATGTGGATTCATTTTCATACAAGGTGAGTAAGCACTTCTAAACAAGGATGTACATATACCTATAATAGGGCAAGTTACATAGATGGGTGAACAAAATAGACAAATGTAAAGGTCTCTTTCAATTCCAGAATAAAGCAATCTCCAAAAACAATGACACAACAGAAACTGAATTAACAATTCATACTTACACATTGACTAATTCATCTTCAGAAGAATTAAGGCCAAAATCTCCCAAATAGATAATGATATTCATTCAACTACTATTTATTTAGTGCCTCCTAGGTGCCAGGTACCGTGCTAGGCACTGGTTCATTGGTGAGTAAAATAGAATTCTTATACTTGTGGATCTCACAATCAACTGGGGAAACAGATAATTAAAAGTGCAGTATTTTATTAAATGTAAGACAATTGTAAGATAAACCATTATTTTTCCGACCACTCAGAAAGGAATCAAGAAATCCAGTGTAAGATACATCCCAATTTCAGAGATGTGAGGAAAAATATCTATCTTAGAATCCAGAAAAAAAGCCCAGTGAGCAAGTAAACTTCAAATTTAATTAAGTGTCAAGAGGAAAACAAATAGGAGTTCCCAGCAAAGGACAACGCAAAGACACCCAGATCAGACTGGATAGGGTCAGCCATGCCAAAAGAGTGAGAAAATTGCTGCAGGTGAAGGAAGCAGCCTGTGCAAAGATTTTTAAGAGTGAAGACCTCACTGTATTCAAGAAATAAAAAGGCAGGCAGTGAGGTTACCAGGTAATAGGCAAAGGAATAAATAGCATAGCCTGAGACTGGTGCCAGAGCCAAGGCTAACTCAGGCATCCATTTGGCAGCAGCAGAGAACCAGGGACAGAAAGTGAGATTACACTGGGATGCTGGGGCAAGAATGAGGCCATGGGAGAATTATGAATGGCTGTTCAAGAGCTCTAGAGGCCAGTGGAAGGGTTGGAGGAAACTGGATCAGACTGAGGAACGCACAGAGCAGCACAAGGATGGGTATTCTCTGCTAACGGATGGCCACTGAGTTTTGGTGGTGGCAAAAAGTAAAAGAGGACATCAAGAATGATAGAGCTGGTCCTGAGAATCTCCAGAGACAGAAACAGACTATCAATCCTGGCACTGTGGTACTGAATGCTTTGGTGAATGAAGTGGCATTTTCCAAGGGTAGCTGCCAGCCCAGTTAGCATGAAGTAGTAAGATCAGGACAGAAAAGGAGCTGCTGCTCCCTCATTATCTGGGAATAAGAGGTCACAGGGGTCCCAATATAAATATGTACTTACTGAACATAGACCATCTATCTATCTTCAGTTGAATTGTTAGCACATGGAAGCTATTTTGTTAAGACTATACATTGTGTTCATTCTTGTGAGTTTCTTCTAGGTATTGTTATAATACATGAAGAGTTCTTTAAAAAACATTTCGGGAGGAGCAACACTGATACCACTCACTAATCTGCCAAGGATGGTGGAACCTGGCATGGTACATAACTCATAAGAATGCCATTCCTGAAGACATGCTAGTCTTCATCCATTTCCACTCTACAGCCTTTATTTTTTAATAGTAAAAATCTCTAAGCAAAAGCATAGTAAAAGGTTTCTGTCTCTAATTTAGAGCATGCAACACAAATAGATCTTAACTTAAAATGGGCCACAGCTAATTGATTATTACATAGCAAAAAATATTTTCATCCAAATTGTTTCAGTACAGCAAATCATTTTAAAACAATTTTTATTTAGTATATTAAAATTATATTCATAGAGAAAAAAATTACATTCATATTTAACATTTTAATTCTTTTAAAAATATATTTAATTCTCAAAGACAAATATTCATTTTAAACAAATCAGAAAAGTAAAAGAGGAAAATACTAACCACATTTATCTGCCAAATAATAAGCAATCTTTAAATATCATACTGCTAATTTGTCTACTGGCTTAATGGATGTTTCTCACAGTATACTCAGTGAGAAAAATAAACCTTAAAATGAACCCTAAAAAAGAAGCAAGGTTAATGAAATTTATGTCTCAAACGACTGAAGTTAGTTACAACTGTTATCCAAGGATAAGTACCGAAACCTCCCAAAATGCAAATTTTTAGCCAGTAATAAAATTATAAGGCTTTAAAGTACACACAGTACTTTCTCGGTTGCTTAAATAACACATTTTAGACAAATTGTCCTCTATTGCACAGATTCTGAAAGTAATCTTATTAAGCTAAAGTCACCAAGATCTATAGTTTATAATTAATACATTCTTCAAGGTTAATTGAATATAAACTATTGGCAGCATAAGAGTTCCATATTTATTCTCATTAGCTTTTCAAATTTAAGCCGTGCTTAGTCTCTAGAGATTTCAAAATGCCTTAGAAAACTGAGTTCTTCTTCAAAAATAAGTGGGGTGAAATAATTGAAGAAAATAATCCCTAGAACTAATTTAGCATGGTTTACAGAAGGTAAAAAAAAAAAAAATGCTGTAGAGAAAAAAGGAAATCAAAAGGTGTAATAATTCTAGTTTCTAGTTTCTTTTTTTTTTTTTTTTTTTTTGAGACGGAGATTCACTCATGTTACCCAGGCTGGAGTGCAATGGCGCGATCTCGGCTCACCGCAACCTCCGCCTCCTGGGTTCAGGCAATTCTCCTGCCTCAGCCTCCTGAATAGCTGGGATTACAGGCACGCGCCACCATGCCCAGCTAATTTTTTGTATTTTTAGTAGAGACGGGGTTTCACCATGTTGACCAGGATGGTCTCTATCTCTTGACCTCGTGATCCACCCGCCTCGGCCTCCCAAAGTGCTGGGATTACAGGCTTGAGCCACCGCGCCCAGCCATAATTCTAGTTTCTTTAGGGTAAAGTCAATAGCCATATGCAAGAACTACATAAAGTTCTTAAGTTTTCCAAATATTTTGTTCTGAAAAAGTTCTTACTAAGCACATGAAAATACAGAGATCTGAAATTCAAAGGGATGAAAATAACTGGGAATGAGTCATTTCAGCTAAGAAAATGGTTCCCAGGAAAGTTAAAAACCCTCTTGCTGAACATTATTTATAAACTGGATAAGATATTTCCAATATTAAAATGTAAACAGGACTTCCAGTTTCAGCATCAACCCATATAGTGCTTGGGTATCATCACTCCAGTCCTTATATTAAGAAAAAACCCTGACAAACTGAAAATCAGCAACTTTTCTTAGATTTATAGAATTGAGGTCAGAGGGTAAACCAATCTCCTGAAATCTAGAGAAACAGGCAAATACAAAGAATCACATCCAAGATCAGCTTACCTGGAGCACAAGGCACTGGAATCACACACTGGCAAGAAAACTTAAATGGTAATTTTGACAAAGGCTAAGTGAGACTAGAGTGTGAATGTGAACTCCTGGGGACTAAACCTTAGGAGGCCCTCTAAGTTCTTGCAGTTTTATCTCCAGGAATCTTACCAGGTTCCGACTATGAAGATTCAAGAAAACACTCCTCCCCTTTTGTGTAAGAGGCAAGGAGAAGTAATTTGAAATACCCCCAGGGGTAAGATCTAATAAAAATCTCCTTTTGGGTAGGGAGAGGAAGAAAGTAACCATGTTGAAATATGCCTAAAGGAAAGGTAACCATTTTGAAGTAAGGCCAAAATGTTTTTCATAACAAAGGTCAACACTCCAAGAGAAAATTCACCAGAGCCTTAGTGTCCACGGAGAAAGGAAATCAGCCAAAGACAGTCCCTCTAGCCTTCTTGTTTCATCTAACAAGGGAGAAAAGTTGGGGAGGGGGGTGGCTGGAAACACTTCTGAAGGTTGTAGCCAAGAACTCAGGACTTACAAAAGACTGAGATTACAGAACACTTTCCCTTCACCATACCCTTCCCATCATGTCAACAGAGCTCCAGTACATTAACAGGGAATTACAACTGAGAGAGTTGCAAGACACAGACTCATTATTTATAAAGGAGTTCTTAGGAGAACCCACAGACAACAGGCTAGGGAAAATAACAAAGGCACTAGAGGAAACTGAAGCCTCTGGCATCTATACCTTCATCATTAAACATGACCCAGCTCCTAGATAAACATAAAACCTTACACTAAAGACCTATTTATTCAGTTCCTATTGCCTAATACATCATATCCAGCTTTAAAAAAAATTACAAGGCATGCCAAAAAGCAAGAAAAAGCATAGTCTAAAGCAACAAAGTAAGCATCAGAACCAGACTCAGATATGGCACAGACTTGAGGATTATCAGATATGGCATTTAAAATAACTGTGATTAATATATTAAGGGCTCTAATGGAAAAAGAAGACAGCATGCAAGAACAGATGGGTAATGTAAGCATACATAACTAAGGAAGAATTAAAAGAAAATGCTAGACATCAAAATCACTGTAACAAAAATGAAGAATGCTTTTAATGGACTCCACAGCAAACTGGACAAGGCTGAGAAAAAAAATCACTAGGCTGTAAGATATGTCAGTAGAAACTTCCAAAACTAAAATGGAATGAGAAAAAATAATTTTTGAAAGCAGAACAGAATATCTAAGAATTATGGGAAAATTACAAAAGGTATAACATATGTAACTGGAATACAAAGGGAAAAGTGAGACAAGGGAGAAAAAATACTTGAAAGAATAATGGCAAAGAATCTTTCAAAATTAAGGATGCCAAACTGCATATCCAGGAAACTCAGAGAACACCAAGCAGAATAAATACCAAAAGATCTACAGCTAAGTATATCATATTGAAACTACAGAAAACTAAATACAAAGAGAAAATTGTGAAAGAAACCAGAAGAAAAAAAAAAACATCTTACCTACAGGAAACAAGGATAAGAATTACATCTGACTTCTTGTCAGAAACCACGCAAGTAACAAAGTTGAGTGAAATATTTATAAAATGTTGAAAGAAAAAAACTCTACCTAGAAGTTACTCAGTGAAATTATCCTTCAAAACTGAAGGAGAGTTTCTCAGATAAACAAATAATTAGTGAATTTGTCAACGGTAGACTTGCCCTTTAAAAATGTTTTAAAAAGTTCTTCAGAGAGAAGACAGAATTATATAGGTAAGAAACTGGTATCTACAGAAAGAAAAGGGCATTGGAGAAGGAATAAATGAAGTTAAGATTAAAATCTATTTTTCATATTCTTCACTGATAACTTTTCAAATTAATAATAGTAACTATTCACTGAGTACAGCATATGCAATACGCAGATAAGCAATATGAATAACATTGTTATAAGGGACTGGAGGAAAGAGTTCAAAAATTCCAGTAAAAGGTACCTACACTCCTCAAGAAGCAGTACAGAGTTATCTGAAAGTGTAGAGCTATCTGAAAGTGGACTTAGATAAGTTGTAAATGTACACTGCAAACTCTAGGACAATGACCAAAAAGAAAGTAAAAACAAGTATTATGGACATTTCTAAAACAGGAGACAAAATGGAGTCCTGTAAAATGGTCAGTTAAAACCAGAAGGCAGAAAAACGGGAATATATTAAAAAAAAAAAAAAAAGTAAGTACTATAAACAGAAAACAGTTATAAGCATGGTTCATATTAATACAACTATATTAATAGTCATTTTAACTGTGAATGGCCTTAATACATTGGTTAAAAGAGACTATCAGAGTAGATTTTAAAACACGAATATAAAGGAATGGGCCAGGCATGGTGGCTCATACCTGTAATCCCACAGCACTTTGGAAGGCTGAGGTGGGAGGATCACTTGAGCCCAGGAGTTTGAGACTATCCTGGGCAACATGGCAAAATCCTGTCTCTACAAAAAATACAAAAAATTAGCCAGGCATGGCAGTACACACCTGTAGTCCCAGCTACACAGGAGGCTGAGGTGGGAGGATGGCATGAGCCTGAGGAGGCGGAGGATGCAGTGAGTCATAATCGCACCACTGCATCCTAGTTTGGGCAACAGAGCAAGACCCTGTTATCTAAAATAAACAAACAAACAAATGAAAGAAAGAAGGAAGGAAAGAGAGAGAGAAAGAGAGAGGAAAAAAGACAAGAAGGAAAGAAAGAGAAGAAGGAAGGAAGGGAGAGAGAGGATAGGATAAAAGCAAGGGGATGGAGAAAGATATACCATGTTAACACTAATCCAGAGGAAGCTGGAGTAGTTACATTAATTTTAGACAAAGCAGATTTCAGAACAAGGAAAATCACGGGGATAAAGAGAATTACAAAATGCAAAATTCTCCAAGAAGACATAATAATCCTTAATATGAATATATTAAATTAGACAGCATCAAAACACATGAGGAAAATATTGATATCACAGCAAACAGAAATACACAAATCCACTACTATAGCTGGATACTTCAACAGCCCCTTTCAGTAACTGAAAGATACAGCAGGCAAAAAAAGGAGTATGGATAACTGTGAATTGAACAATACCATCAATCAACTGGATCTACTTGACATTTATATAATACCTCAGTAACAGCAGAATACAAATTCTTCTCAAGCTTACATGGGGCAATCACCAAGATAGACCACATCTGGGGCATAACATACACCTTAATAAATTTGTAGCTATCATACTAAGTATGCTATCATACCACATTGGAGTTAAACTAGAAATCCGTAACAAAAACATAGCTGGAAAATCTCAAAATATTTGGAGAATAAACAACAAATTTCTAAATAACATGAGTCAAAGCAGTCTCAAGATAAATTTTAAAATATTTTGAGCTAAATAAAAATACAAGTCAAAATTTGTGCAATACTGTGAAAGCAGTACTTAGAGAAAAGTTTATAGCATCAAGTACATATATTAGAAAACAGACCTAAAATCAATAATCTAAGCTTTACCTTAGGAAAGAAAAGAAAGAAGGGCAACTTAAACATAAAACAAGGAGAAGAAAAAAAAATTAAAATTACAATAGAAATAAATGAATTGAAAATAATCAACAGTAAAAACAAAAGCTGCTTCTCTGAAATCAATAAAGCTGATAAACCTCTAGCCAAGTTAACCAAGAAAAAAAAAAAACCCACAAATTATTCACATCAGATTTGAATGGTCATCGCTACCAAATCACATGAACATTAAAAGGAAAATAACAGATTATTATATAAATAAATCTATGCCTAAAAATTTGACAACTTAGATGAAATGGATCAATTCCTTTAAACATACAAATTATCAAAATTTACACAAGAAATAATAATCTGAATAGGCCTGTTATCTATGAAAGTGGGTCAATAATTATTAATATTCCAAAAAAGAAAGCGCCATTCTCACATGGTTTCACTGGTGAATTCTAGCAAACATTTAAGAAATTATACCAATTATCTACAATCTCTTCCAGACAACAGGAGCAGACAGAATACTTCCCAACTCATTCTATGAGGTCAGTGTCATCCTAAGACTAAAATAAGCTAAATATATTTTTCAAAAGGCAAACTACAGACCAATACCTCTCATGAATATAGATGCAAAAATCCACAACAAATATCAAGGGAATCAAATCCACCAATATATGAAAACAACTATACACCAGGTATGAAAGGCTGCTTCAGCATTTCAAAATCAAGCCATGTAATACACTACCACCACCAAGTAGAAACGTAGAAAAATCACATGGTCTTATCAGTGGATACAGAAAAGCATTTTTTGCAATCCAATCTCCATTACTGATTTAAAAATAAACAAACAAATAACAACAACAACAAAAAAAAACCCAGCCCCTCAGAAATCTAGGCATAGAGGGGAACTTCCTCCACTTGATAAAGAATATCTACAAAAAACCTAACATTATCGATATTTAACAGTAAGAAACTGTTACTTTCCCCTTAAGATCAGAAGGATGCTCCCCTCATCAGTCATATTTAACACTGTTAACACTGTACTGAAGTCACAAGAAATATAATAAGGAAAGATATAAAAATTAAGAAGAAAGAAATAAAACTGTTTTGTTCACAGATGCCATGCCTATCTACATAGAAAATCCCAAAGAATCTACAAAAAAAGAAAAAGAAACAGAAAAAGAAAAACTGGAACTAATAATTAAAGCAAGGTCACAGGATGCAAAGTTAACATACAAAAGTCAATTACTTTCCTGTATATCAGCAAAGAACAGCTAGAATTTGAAACTGAAAACACAATACAATTTATATTAATACCCCAAAAATAGTACTAAGGTATAAATCTAACGAAATATTTGCAGGATCTGTATGTGAAAAATTTAATGCTGTTGAAAGAAATCAAAGATGATCTAAATAAATGGAGAGCGATTTTGTGTTCATGGATTGCAAGACTCAGTATTGTTAAGATGTCAATTCTTCTCAACTTGATCTGCAGATTCAATGTAATCCCAATCTAAATCCCTAGAAGCTATTCTGTGAATGTTGACAAACTAAAGTCAAAGATTATACTGAAAGGCCCAGAACACCAATCCAATAGTGAAGAAGGACAAAGTGAGAGGAGTGATACTACTGCACCTCTTTAATATAATGCTACAGTAATTGAGACAATATGGTATTGGTGAAAAATAGACACAGACATCAATGGAACAGAATAAAGCACAAAAACACTCAAGAGCCAGCCTGGTCAACATAGCAAGACCCTGCCCCTACAAAAAAATTTAAAAATTAAGACAGCCGTAGTTGCTCATGCCTGTAATTCCAGCACTTTGGAAGGCTGAGGCGGGTGGATCGTCTGAGGTCAGGAGTTCCAGGCCAGCCTGATCAATATGGTGAAACCCCATCTCTACTAAAAATACAAAAGTTAGCTGAGCATGGTGGCGTGCACCTGTAGTTCTCTCAACTTGGGAGGCCAAGACTAAGAGAATTGCTTGAACCCGGGTCGTGGAGGTTGCAGTGAGCCGAGATTGTGCCACTGCACTCCAGCCTGGGTGACAGAGTGAGACTCCATCTAAAAAAAAAAAAAAAAAAAATTAAAAATTAGCCGGGCATGGTGGCATGTGCCTATAGTCCCAACTACTTGGGAGACTGAGATGGGAGGATTACTTGATCCAGGAGTTTGAGGGTGTAGTGAGCCATGACTGCATCACTGTATTGCAGCCTGGATGACAAAGTCAGACCCCATCTCTAATACAAACAAACAAAAAATAGACTTAACACAAATATAGTCAGCAGATCTTTGACAAAGGAGCACAGGCAATCTAATGGAGAAAGCAATATTTTCAACAAACGGTGCTAGATGAAATGCAAAAGAAAGAATCTAGACACAGACCTTACAAGTTTCACAAAAACTAACTCAAAATGGATCATATACCTAAATGTAAAATGCAAATGTATAAAACTTCCAGAAGATAACCTAGAAAATCTAGGTGACCTTCAGTTTGGCAATGAGGTTTCAGATGTAACACCAAAAGGACAGTCCATGAAAGAAAAAAATGTTAAGTTGGACTTCAATAAAATTAAAAACTTTTGCTCTGCTAAACATATCATTACAAGAATGAAAAGGCATGCCACAGACTGGAAGAAAATATGTGCAAAACACATATCTGGAGAGTGTTAGCACTGAAAATGGCAGGACTGGGAAATCTAGGACTCTTTCCCTCCACAGAAACAACTAATGAATGAGTTGGCAAAAAGTATCAGAATCAACTTTTCCACAACTCTGCAACTATTCAAAAACTCACAACAACCAGGGGAAGGCTTGGTGAAAGAGGCAGCTGCTTTGTGATAAGATAACACTGTGCATTTTAAACTGCCCGCCTACCTTCACCCACATATCATATCCATAGCAGATGAGAAGACTAGAAATAGAGGGCAAGTTCCTCAACCTGATAAAGGACATTTACAAAGCCCACAGGTAACAGTATGAATGCTCAATGGTAATAGACAGACGTCTAATTACATGTATAAACCATATTTTGTTCATTATATAAATATACAATGAACACGATGTTTTCAAGGTTCAACCATATAATATTGTTATATGTTGTTCCAATATTGTTCAGCCATATAAAGGAATGAAGTTCTGATACACACTACATGAAAGAACCTTGAAAACATCATGCTAAGTGAAAGGAAATCGGACACAAAAGGACAAATACTATAATATTCCACTTACATAAAATATCTAGAACAGGCAAAAATCATAGAGATAGAAAGTAGATTAGAAGTTACTACTACTACTGGGGATGCGGGAATTAAAGAGTTATTGCTTAATTGGCAGAGAGTATCTGTTTGGAGTAATGAAAAAATTGTGCAAATACACAGTAGTAATGGTTATGTACACTGTGAATACAATTAATGTCAAACTTTGGCCTTAGAAATAGTTGAAATGACAAATTTTATATTACATATATTTTACCACGATAAAAAAAAAAAATTGAGGCCGGTATGGTTTCACGCCTGTAATCCCATCACTTTGGGAGGCCAAGGCAGGCATATCACTTGAGGTCTGGAGTTTGACACCAGTCTGGGCAATATGGTGAAACCCTGTCTCTAGTAAAAATACAAAACTTAGCCAGCTGTGGTGGCACGTGCCTAAATTCCAGCTACACAGAAGGCTGAGCCAGGAGACTGGCTTGAACCCAGGAGGCGGAGGTTGCAGTGAGCTGAGATCGCATCACTACACTCCAGCCTGGGTGACAGAGCCTTCATCTCAAAAAAAAAAAAAAAAATCTGTAGTATTTCCATATACTAACAACAAACAATCCAAAAAAGAAATTAACAGCAATTTCATTTAAAATAGCAGAGAGGTGCGGTGGCTCGTACTTGTAATCCCACCACTTTGGGAGGTCAAGGTGGGTGGATGACATGAGGCCAGGAGTTTGAGACCAGCCTGGCCAATATGGCGAAACCCTGTCTCTACTAAAAATACAAAAATTAGCCGGGCGTGGTGGTGCACGTCTGTAATACCAGCTGCTCAGGTGGCTGAGGCAGGAGAATCGCTTGAACCAAGGAGGCAGAGGTTGTAGTGAGCCAAGATCACACCACTTCACTCCAGTCTAGGCAACAGAGCAAGACTATCTCAAAAAGAAAAAAAGGCATCTGAATAAATAAAACATCTAAGAATAAATCTAACCAACGAGGTAAATGACTAGTACACCAAAAACTACAAAACACTGCTAAAAGAAGTTAAACACTTAAATAAATGGAAAGGTCCCATGTTCGTGGATTGAAGAATTTATAGTTAGGATGACAATACTACCCAAAGCAATCTACAGAGTCAATGCAATCTCTATCAAAATTCCAACAGCTTTTTTTCCCCCAGAAACGAAAAAACTAATCACAAATTCACATGGAATTGCAAGGAGCCCTTGATGGCCAAAATAGTATTGAAAAAGAAGAACAAAGTTGGAAGACTCACACTTCCCGATTTCAAAATTTACTACAAATCTATAGTAATCAAACCAGTGAAGTACTGACATAAAGATAGGCACATGGCCCAATGGAATAAAAGTGAGAGTCCACAAACAAACCCACATGTCTATGGCCAACTGATTTTCAACAAAGGTGCCAGCACCAGTAAATGGAGAAAGAATAATCTCTACAAATCCCAGGTGCTGGGACAACTGGATATCCACATGCAAAAGAATGAAGTTAGACCTCATATTACAACGTACACAAAAACAATACAAACATAATGAGAAATTACTTAATAGGTACAATGTACATTCTTTGAGTATGGTTACACAAAAACCTCAGACTTCATCCGCTATGCAAATAAACCTGTGTAACAAAACTGCACTTGTACCCCTTAAATGTATAAAACTTCATTAAAAATTTTTTAACTATACAAACATCAACTCAAAATGGATCAACAACCTAACATAAGAGCTAAAACTATACTACTGTACTATTAAAAAAACATAGCAGTAAATCTTCATGACACTGGATTTGGCAACAGTTTTAAAAATATGAACAATAAAGAAAAAAATAAGATAAACTAGACTTCATCAAAACTAAAAACCTTGCGCATCATCTAGCATACTATTAAGAAACTGAAAAGGCAACCTACAAAATATTTGCAAACCATATATCTGATAAGGAATATATATTTAGATAATATGAATAACTCTTACAATTCAACCAAAAAGACAACCCAATTTAAAAATGCTCAATGGACTTGAATAGACATTTCTCCAAAGAAGATACACAATTGGCCAAAAGTACATAAAAAGATGCTCAAAATCACCAATCATTGGGGAAATGCAAATCAAGACCACAATGAGATACTACACTATATCCACTAGGGTGGCTACAATTAAAAAATAATTTGGTGGCCGGGCATGGTGGATCACATCCATAATCCCAACACTTTGGGAGGCCAAGGTAGGTGGATCGCCTGAGGCCAGGAGTTTGAGACCAGCCTGGCCAACATGGTGAAACCCCATTTCTACTAAAAATAAAAATGGCACCACTGTACTCCAGCATGGGCAACAGAGTGGAGACGGCGGCGGGGGGGGAGGAGGAGGAGAACAATCATGCAATGAAAATCATACAATGTTGTATGATTCCATTTATGTGAAATATCCAGAATAGGTAAATACAGAAAGCAGATTGGTGGTTACCAGGGGCAAGGGAAAATGGGGGTTAAATAGTGAGTACAGAGTTTTCTTCTGGGGTGATAAAAATGTTTTAGAACTTGAAAGAGGTGGTGATTGCATAACATTATGAATGTATTCAATGTCACATACTGGTATACTTTAAAATGGTTAATTTTGTTATGTCCTTTAGGAAATTAACTTATTTGAGCACCAGTTTCCTCCACATAAGAGAAGGATAATTCCTTCTAACTTTTATGATTATTATAGGATTGAAAGCAACACGAAAATAAAGCAGCTAGCACAATGCCTGGAAGACAAGAGGCACTTGAAACGAAAGCTACTGTTTCGTCTTACTTTCTTATTTATGTCCACTTGAATCTCACATATTTTTCTCCAAAGAATTTCACACTCATAAATCTCTTGCTATTTATGAGAATGTCCTTCTCTTGAGCTGAAGAATTTTTTCACAGTCTCAATGAGGACTGTTCTTTTTTTCCTATTCATCTTTGGGTGGAAAGGGAGCTATGCAGGCCAATGATGTGACAGAGGGTAAGTAGGCTGTATGTGTCTGTGTGCCCAGTACCGGGCAAATTCCATATCTCTGCTGTGACAGCTGACATGTGAAAGAGGTAACCAATACAAAACTTCCTGCCCAGCCATTCAAAGGATTTACTCAGGTCCAGATAAGGGGAAAAGTAATTTTCACTGAAGTCCCCCACCTTATTAACCTTATTTCTCAGGCTCCTAGAGCATCAAGGGCAAAGAGTCAAATAGAAATTGAGACTGTGGTTCACTAAGGCCACTACGCTGTTCCCACAATATTCTCCTAGTTAGGGCTTGCTCAACATCAGAAGTCAGCAAAGTCTTTCTATACAAAGCCAGATAAATATTTCAGACTTTGTGGGTCAGTCTCTCTATTCCACTCTGTCATTGTATTGCAAAAGCATGCATAAAAAAATACTTAAATGATAAAAAAAAAAAAAAAAAAAAAAAACTTAAATGAATGAGTGTGGCTGCATTCCAACAAAACTTTATTCATAAAATAGATGGAGGGCCAGATTTGGCCCACAAGCAATAGTTTGCCAACTGCAGATCTACACATCTGGGGAGGTTCTCCTGCCCATCCTAATATGGTAGAGTCTTAACAGCAATGACTTGGGCCTCCTAGTTCAAGTTTCAACTATGCCATTTGGGGAAGGTTCTACAATCCATCATTACTCCACCAAGGATTCTGGGCCTTCTGACACTTAGAGGTAAAATAGAGGCTCTCACTATACCATTCTCATTCAGTCCATTATCAGCTAATAATGCTACTCCTTAATTCTATTCCAGCTTTGTGGTAGTTCTCTGTGGGGTTCTGGGAAATGCTTCCCCCTGCCCACCTTTATTACTGACCTGAGTTTTTCCCAAGCAGGCTTCAGTGGAGAATTTATTGGGGGGGAAAAAAGGGAACGGTTTCACACTATCATGTCAACTACCATCTTATCTTAAATTTACCTCTCCCAAACTATATGTTAAGCTTCCTGACAATAGAAAACATGAGCTTATATTTGTTAATTTATTCATGTTAGGTTAAATTCCTTAAACGTAAGAACTACATCTTATTGTTTTTTGCAGAGTCAGTGCCTAGCTAAGTGCCTGATATTTTATGGACTCTCAACAGATTTTTCTTACTTAAACAGATGTCTGGTTTTATTTCACTTTATGATGCCATGCTTAGAACACAGTGTTTTAAGTATAGGAGGTAGCTTTAGAAACAAAAGAAGTTGATTTTTTAAAATTAAAATGCTTTTATACATGAAAGACATCTTTAAATTGTAAAATATGAACTATAGCTTCTAATTACACAGTAAATCAATGCTAGATTACTTCTTATGTAGAAATAGATTACCATGTACTACGTTGTGGTTTATTTTTGCTGAGACGGCATCTTGCTCTATTGCCAAGGCTGGAGTACAGTGGCACAATCTTTGCTCACTGCAACCTCTGCCTCCCAGGTTCAAGCGATTCTCCTACCTTGGCCTCCCAAGTAGCTGGGATTACAGGTGTCTGCCACCATGCCCAGCAGATTTTTTTGTATTTTTAGTAGAGATGGAGTTTCACCATGTTGGCCAGGCTGGTCTTAAACACTTGACCTCACGTGATTCGCCTGCCTTGACCTCCCAAAGTGCCGGGATCCATGCACTACTTTCTAGTAAGTAGTTTCAACAACTGATAAAGAACTATGCTTAAATTACTCAAGAGTTTCTACTATATGGGCATTTGTTAATCAGTGAATATACATTGCAGGCCTGTAGGGGGAAAAATGATTCACATTCATTTTTGTTCCTGAAGTTTTGAAGAAAACTGGCATTAAGGAGCTAGAATAAATCACTTAAGCACATTTATCAGAGACTAATGAAATTACACAACTTATAGTGCAGAAGGGATGTTCTCTTCTTTGAACTAATAATATTTTTATGATTACCATAGGAAGGACTTTAAAGTCAACCTGTAAGTAGTCAATAAATAACAATGTTAACTTAAATTAGAGAACTGAAGATGAAAGATGTAGTAGAGAGCTGTTGCAGAGTAGCAGGGACTCAGTTCCTGAAGACGGATGAAAGATGTTCCCAAGATTTCAAAGTGGTAAACTGGAAAAGCATTCCAGTCAACTCATCCCCTACAAGAGGGGGAAATGATGATTTAGGAACTGAGTAACTGTGAAAAGGAAGAATGAGGGAAAGTTTTCAGAGTATAAAGAGGTAATACTAATTCTAACATGACCATTTCCTTACTGTTTACTAAAAAACTGTCAAACAATAAACTAAATGCAGATTCGGATGATGAGGATAAAGGCAACCAGGAAGCTTGCAAAGGCCCAAAACTCTTCTAGTTCCCTAAAAAAGTAAGATCAGGTCAGGCACAATGGCTCACACCTGTAATCCCAGCACTTTTGGAGGCCAAGGCGGGTGGATCACCTGAGGTAAGGAGTTCAAGACCAGCCTGACCAACATGGCAAAACACTGTCTCTACTAAAAATACAAAATTAGCTGGGCATGGTCGTGGGTGCCTATTATCCCAGCTACTCAGGAGGCAGAGGCAGGAGAATCACTTGAACCCAGGAGGCAGAGGTTGCAGTGAGCCAAGATAGCGCCACTGCACTCCAGCCTGGATGACAACAGCAAAACTCCGTCTCAAAAAAAAAAAAAAAAAAAAAAAATCAGATCAGCTTGGAAAATGACACATGAGCCATTATTTCTTTAATAGATAAAAAGAGAACAGAAGTGGCCAGGTGCAGTGGCTCATACCACTGTTCGAGACCAGCCTGGTCAACATAGCGAGACCCCATCTCATTAGGAATTTAAAAAAAAAAAAAAAAAAAAAAGACAACAGCAGCATTTGTAGTTTTTCCGATATCAACAGTCTAGCAAAATCTCAAATACAAAATATTATAATACAAAGAATTAGAATTTGGGTGAGACTTTTTCAGTGTTCCAGACACTGTTCTATAATTAATTGGAACAGGAACAAAACTCAGGACAAGAGCAGAAACCAGACACAATGGTTCTCTATGAGTGCCTCTCTAAGAGGAGAAAAATCTTTTTCCTCAAGTATCTAAGTATCTTCTTAAAATTGTTTAGCAATTAAAAAAAAAAAAAAAAAAGGTAGGCTGGATGCAATAGCTCACGCCTGTCATCCCAGCATTTTGGGAGGCTGAGGCAGGTGAATCACTTGAGGTCAGGAGTTCAAGAACAGCATGGCTAACATGGTGAAACCCCATCTCTACTAAAAATACAAAAATTAGCTAGGCATGGCAGCTCATGCCTGTAATCCCAGCTACTTGGGAGGCTGAGGCACAAGAATTGTTTGAACCTGGAAAGCTGAGGTTGCAGTGAGCAGAGACTGCACCACTGCACTCCAACCTGGGAAACGCAGTGAGACTCCAACTCAAAAAAAAAAAAAAAAAAAAAAGTAAGAAAAGAAAGAAAAGAAAGAAAGAAAGAATGACAACTCCTGTCTCATGCTCAAGTTAGCTATTTCCGGAGTCAGATCAAAGCCTAGTTCCATCATTTATCAGCCACATCATTTTGACCCTATTACATAGCCTCTCTGAGACTCAGTCTCCTCATCTGCAAAATGAGGCTAAGAAGAGAGTTATCCTGTTGCAGAGATTGAGAGATCTAGCAGAGTGTCTGGCATATGGTAGATGCTCAATAGGTAGTATTTGTTAATATTAGGTTTTATATTCTGTGCCATTTTTATTCTTTATTATTAAAGTCAAACTCATTATTTCTCCCCCCAAACTGATATACCTTTTATAAGTTTTCCAGTCAGATAAATAATACCAAAGCTTTTCTAGTTTACCACATTCGAATCCCTGGGATCATCTTTCATCCCTCCATAAGGACCAAGTCCCTGCTACTCTGCAACAGCTCTCTACTGCATCCTTCATTTTCAGTTCTCTAACATAAGATAATTATTTATTGAACACCTACATACAGGCTGTACCCCAATGATGGATGTTCACAGCTTTGTATAAACGTGTATCTCAAAAGTATATGTGACTTACTACTTCAAAATAAACAAAAACTTCTCATAAGTCAACCACAGTCACGGGAAACGAATTATATGAATCAGTACTTTCTGTCCTAGGCTCAATGAGCATCAATCTCCAGCCTGTCTATCACGGTGTACAAGTCCACTCCTCCAGTTCTTATTGCATGTCCTTACTTCAACCCCATCAAACTCTCCTTGCCTTGTTGTAAGCATGACCTCTTTGGGTTTTTGTTAAGAAAAGCATGCTATAAAACATGCCTATCTCACAGGCACTTTAAAACAGACACGCAACGCTGGGCGAGGCGGTTCATGTCTGTAATCCCAGCACTTCGGGAGGCCGAGGTGGGTAGATTAGTTGAGGTCAGGAGTTCAAGACCAGCCTAGCCAATGTGGTGAAACCCTGTCTCTACTAAAAATACAAAAATTAGCAGGGCATGGTGCCACATGCCTGTAGTCCCAGATACTCTGGAGGCTGAGGCAAGAAAGAAAAAAAAAAACAGACATGCAAATAAAAAGATAATTAACTACGTATATCTTCAGGGAAAACGACCCCAGAACATCATCTTTTTTTTTTTTTTTTTTTAATTCTTTTGAGATGGAGTTTCACTCTTGTCACCCAGGCTGGAGTGCAGTGGTGCGATCTGGCTCATTGCAACCTCCACCTCCTGGGTTCAAGCGATTCTCCTGTCTTAGCCTCCTGAGTAGCTGGGACTAAAGGCATGTGCCACAACTCCTGGCTAATTTTTGTATTTTTAGTAGAGACGGGGTTTCACCACGTTGGCCAGGCTGGTCTTGAACTCCTGACCTCAGGTGATATGCCCACCTCAGCCTCCCAAGGTGCTGAGATTACAGGCATGAGCCACTGTGCCCAGCCTAGAACATGTTTCAAATGTGAGTAGTCCTAAGGAGTCCTAAAAAGAAGCTTAGTCACTGCTAAGAGTTGTCATATGCATGTCAATGTGTATATATAACAACTTATTGTTCTATATGCAATAAATATATACAGCTTAATTTTGTTTAGTTGTCAAAAAAAAAAAAACAGTGCAAGCTAGATTTCTCCTTTTAAATTGAGCAGCATTTATTTCAGTAAATTAAGAAGTATGGTCTTTGGTCTGGATTAGCCCAGTGTCAAAGTCTGTGCACAAAAGACAAAATACACCTATTTATCAGCATGACCTCTAAATTACTGCAACAGTACACAGATTAAAACAGTGACTTTCTTCCATACTTGCTCAAATAAACAACATAAGAATTATTTAATTATATATACGCCCACAGCCAACCTTTTCAAAAGGATAACTAATTTATATACATAAGCAATCACGCAAACCTGACTTATACAGTTTTATAAACACTTCACTAAATTTTTAAAGGTATGCAAAATATATTGGCCTAATTACGTATGAGTACAATCAGGAAGATTATATACATATATACATTTTTAATTATAACATGAGTTCCATAATAATCCATTTGTTTGACCCTAAAGCGTCAATCTTACCAGAAGCATCAAATTCTCTATTTTTGGATAATGGGGTACAGATTTCAAGGTCTGATTTTAGCTGAGAAAAGGATATACTATCTATAACAAGCCTAATGACTAAACAGCTGCAGATTCTAAAAAAGAGTTTTATAATACTCTGAGATAGGCACTAATTTATGCTTTAAATTTTCCATCCAGTGATATCTTTTTAGACACATGCAAGGAGAAAGCAACAACACTTAAGGAGCTGGTATGTGACCTCATGTAGTGAAGGACAGCAAAGAGAGAAATGTTTTAGATGTATCTCATTTGCAGCAACCTCACAGGCTTGGTTTCTTTTTTTTTTTTTTTTTTTTTTAATATCTATTCTTCTGTCTCTTCAGACAGACCATAAAGCCACATGAAGGCAAGAAAAGTATGTTTTATTTATCCTTGTAACTCCAAGTGCCCTACACAGAGTAACTGAAAATCAGAGTTCACATTTAGAGTTGGTTTCCTAAGAGCAGAGATGTCCATTCTCATCCACTTTCACACTGGGCCCATTCTGCTGGCACTAACAGTGTGTGTTTTGAGAACCAGGTACACAAAAACAACCATTTTAACAAATCAGTAAATAGAAAGATAAAAACAATATATTTGAATAATAACTTAATTTTTACATAAAAGGCAGAAGGAGAGCTTAAAGTCACATGAAAGTATAGAGAAAAAGGTTACAGGTTGAAGTATGACAATGACTACGAGAAAACATTTGAACTCTGTACGTGATGTATAATATATACCAGATATATGTATATGTAATACATATTTATGCATGCGTATATGTACATATGTAAGATATGTATATATCTCAGAAATCTCTGAGTTTTAAAACCCAAGATTAGAAGAACTGAAGCTTCCATTTGCAATGTTATCTAAACAGAGCCACTGTATAAAAGGGAAGGTTTTATGTTCAAGAAAGAGTCAAATTTAACTTGGAAACTAATAACCTATTTCCCCCAAGTAAAATCCACCCAGGAATTTCTTTTTAAGCTTCAGAAACTTATAACTAAAGGCAACTCATTAAAAGTATATAGCATTTAGCATTTTATTAGGGAGATTTTCATTTGTTTAATTTCAAACCACAGTAATATTTCTTAACAAGGTGTTCAAGGTGCTAAATTTATTTTTAATACATTTATTATTTTAAATTCTTAATCATCTTTAATCAAGAACCAATAGTATTCAAACCATTTTTGAAAATTTAATGGCAAAGAAGTCTTCAGGTAACTATTATTAACATAAAATAGTTCAACTACCCAATTTCAAGAATACAAAAGCCACTGCCCGAAAGTGAGAGATCCGTGATTTAAAACACAAAAATATATTAACTGTCATGAAGGCTGAAATCCAAAAGGCAGGTAGTATTTTGTACAATAGGAAAGAAAAAGTAAATATAAGAGTATCATCTTTATTTACGTGTGTGCATATTTACATACATACACACATATATTATTTTCAATAGATGACAGATTCAAGAGTTTAAATGTCTTGGGTTAAATTGCTAAAATCATCACAGACAAAACCTTGGTCCTAACAAATAATATGCAAATAAAGCCAAATACTCAGATTAGGTATGCCATAATAGAAAAATATTTAAGCTAGTGTTTGTTACAGTTTCAGTGCTTGCCATCTGAAAGTTACTCTCCAAGTAAAACGTGCTTACTATTGAACAACAGCTATGGAAACTTCAAATAACTTCTCTGAATAATTTCTGATTATCATACTAAAATAATTTCTAGTAAGGTTCATTTCACAGCTGTTCAAGGATGATCAACTATAGCCAATAATCATAATCACACACTATTATCCCAAGTCTTAGCTCATATCCAAACACCTACCTTATTATCCTTCAAATCTGGATTCAAATGCATCAAGCAATCTAAGTTAATGGGTCTCTATGAAAAATACTAAAAAAAAAAAACCTTCTCTTTGCTCATAAGTACTTGAACATAAATTAAATCTGTCACTGCCTTGCTTTCTTCTTCCCATCCCACCACCTTTTCTCTTTTCTCATTAGGCAGCTTTTCATTTATACAGTCATGCATCACTTAATGACAAGAATACATTCTAAGAAATATGTCATTAGGTGATTTTATCACTGTACAAACATCATAGAGTGTACTTACACAAACCTAAATGGTACAGCCTAATACTACCTAGGCTACATGGTATAGCCTTACTGAGTACCATATTCAGTAAATATTTGTGTATCTGAACATATATGTTTTTTATCTAAACAAAAAATACCATATGATAATCTTATGGGACTATTGTACATGCTGTCCACTGTTGACCTAAATGTCATTATGAGGTGTATGGCATAGGTCGGTTGAAAAAAAAATAGCATGTGATTACTAAGAACTAAGAACTACCCAACCATGATCAAGCTTATCTAAAAGTAGTCTCTTTCTGGCCACATTCCCATATTAATTCTACTTCATTAAAGAACATTATCATAACCAGAGTTTTAATTACAGGTTGATCATCCCTAATTCCAAAATCCAAAATGTTCCAAAATCCAAAACTTTGAGTACCGATATGATGCCACAAGTAGAAATTCCACATATAAGTACATAAACTTTGTTTTACGCAAAAATTTAAAATATTGCGTAAAATTACCTTTAGGCTGTATGTATTAAGTATACATGAAACATAAATGAATTTCCTGCCTAGCTCTGGGTCCCATCCCTAATATGTCTCACTATGTATACGGAAAAATTCCAAAATCCGAAAAAATAAAAAACATTTCTGGCCCCAAGCATTTCAGATAAGGAATGCTCAACCTGTACATGCCCATATGCACAGAGCACTGCATTAGTTTCAAAACAGTTAAACATATATAGATATTTCTTCTTAAAAATCATGTACTTGCCTTGTGTCTGCATTTAAGTACAACTCCATAGGCTCCTACGATAAAAAGAAATAAACAATCAAGGGCATGCATACAAATTATAGGTCTTGAAAAAAATCAAAGCTCTGCTATATTGACATTGCTTCTCAGTGTTATAATAATGACTCCTAAAGTGACGAGATTCTATAGTGGTAATGCAATAATGAGCCACATACAAATGGAACATACTTTATTATACATTTATTATAAATCAAGAGTATAGACAAGTCATTTCCTCCAACAAGTATTTTTAAATGTTTCTCTTTTTAAAGAAAATTTCATGGGAGATATGTTTAAATGTAGGCTTACACATTCATGAAGATAAGATTTGGTGTTAACTTTGAAAATTAACTCAAAAAATTCGCTGGAACTTAAGAGCTAGGCCAGCCATGGTAGCTCATGCCTGTAATCCCAGGACTTTTGGAGGCCAAGGCTGACAGATCACCTGAGGTCAGGAGTTCGAGACCAGCCTGGCCAACATGGCAAAACCCCATCTCTACTAAAAATACAAAAATTAGCTGGGCATAGTGGGGGGCTTCTGTAGTCCCAGCTACTTAAGAGACTGAGGCAGGAGAATCATTTGAACCCGGGAGGCAGAGGTTGCAGTCAGCTGAGATAACACCACTGCACTCCAGCCTGGGCAACACAGCAAGACTCCATCTCAAAACAAAACAAAACAAAACAAACAAAAAAAAAAAACCTTAAGAGCTAATGACATCCCAATAGTAAACTCAAGCACAGAGCTCATCAAATACACTGTCTGTTCTATGAGACATTAAAATCTAAAATCTTCCTCTAGGATACTGAAATGCCCCTCTTTTTTTTTTTTAAGTTTTTTTGTAGAGACATGATCTCGCTATGTTGCCTAGGCTGGTCTCAAACTCCTAGCCTCAAGCAATCCTCCCACCTCAGCCTCCCAAAGTGCTGGGATTACAGGCATGCACCACCACACCCAACTGAATGTCTCTCCTGACTGGCAAAATGGTACAGGCCTCAGTATTCCAATTAATAGCTAGTAGGATTTGCTACCTTTTGCCATAAAGACTCACTTCATGCACAAAGGCCACATGTATTTCTTTGTATTATTTTCTTTGGTGTATTTCGATAAGTAACCACCTTTGGGGTTACTTATCCTATTATCGAGGCAATAGGCTTCTTCCTTAGAAGTAGAACAGAGTTGACAGCGAGGTCCCAGGAAACTGAGGTTAAAAATATAGTGTGAAAAATCTAATTAAGAGAATCAAAATGTAATGAATGATAGCTGCGCTTTGCAAAAACATCAAGAACGTTAACATTAGCAGACTGGCAAGCCTGCATTCATCTACGAGAAGGGGGCTTCAGGGAGACAAAATTGGGAAATGTGTCTCCAATAGAGTCTACAGGACCTGAACAAGTCTCCCTCACTTTGGTAGAGATGGATGAATCCTGTTGTCACAGTTAGCACAGAACCAGCCATTATAACCATCTAACTTTAACCCCACAATTGCGAGGCAATTGTCCAATTCTCTAACTGCCTATGCCAGTTTTTCTATGGGGTGGAAAATACACTGTCTAAACTACAAAAATGTAGATTTTGCTTGACAGATTTTTTTTTTTTTTTTTTTTGAAATGGAATCTTGTTCTGTCGCCAGGCTGGAGTGCAGTGGCACCATCTCAGCTCACTGCAACCTCCACCTCCCAGGTTCAAGCAATTCCCCTGCCCCAGCCTCTCGAGTAGCTAGTACTACAGGCGTACGCCACCACGCCCAGCTAATTTTTGAATTTTTAGTAAAGATGGGGTTTCACCATGTTGGCCAGGATGATAGCGATCTCTTGACCTCGTGATCCACCCGCCTCAGCCTCCCAAAGTGCTGGGATTACAGGCGTGAGCCACCACGTCCGGCGACAGAGTTTTATATACTTTATATGTATATCCTAGCCAAAAAAATATGTGAGGTGATTTCCAAAGAAAGAAACATACAGCAATGGTGGTTCTGATTACAATTTAAAGTAATATATTCTGATATATATATATATATATATATGCGCCTGGTAATTTTGAGTCAGTCCCAAAGAAGATAATCACCTATGGCTATATTGAGAAAAACAAGTTATGATCTAGAAAAACTTAGGCCCAGAATTTGGAACATTCTAACATTGTTACACCCTATGTGCTAGCCTTCTCCAGTCAGCAGCTTTATTGCATTAGTCTCTAACTCTAATACTTTTGAAAAATAAAACAAACAAAAGAGGCAGCCATTATAGAACAGATGGTAGGCAAGACACTGATAATGAATTTTTATATAATATCAATGAAGAAATGGAAAAGGAGTTGACTAGGTAAGGAACAAAGAGCTATTTGTTTTACATGATTTGAACTTCAGACCTTGAAACAAGCATCCAATGATTAAACTATTTAATTGTTTATATGTATTTGAAAAGGATTTGCCAACTTAAAAACTTAATAACAGCTTTCTGTTCACATAGGTAAACTTTTTTACAGTCCTTTAGGAATTCAAAGTTTATTTCAAAAATCTGAAATATGAAATTTTTATAACATGTTTTAAAGATATAAGTGCTGAGAAACCATAATTATAATCACTTGTCCTCTGTTAACAGAATCATTTATCAAAATTTCCAAAGTTATCTTTAAGTCTAGAGCAAAAATTACTAAGCAGGAAAAATCAGGAAGAAACGATTTTTTTTAGGAGTCAGTTTACACAAAATGATATCATATTTCATCAAATCAATGGTATTCCATTGGTTGTGGGCATTATTTTATGTACTATTAGGAAAGGAAGAGTGCTGTCAATTAAACCATGAGATGATACTGATTATAAGATACATCCTGATTTCCGAGATAAAATTGTGTGCCTTAGAATTTATAAAATGTAATCTCTTTTTCAAAGAAACAGAAGCTATTCATTCATCTACCATGTATTAAGTAAAATTTAACATATACAAATAAATTTTAAGTTATTCAGCTGCGTACAGTGGCTCACACTTGTAATCCCAGCATATTGGGAGGCCAAGGCAGGCAGATTACCTGAGGTCAGGAGTTTAAGACCAGCCTGGCCAACATGGTGAAACCTAGCCTCTACTGAAAATACAAAAATTAGTTGGGCACAGTGGCTCAGGCCTGTAATCTCAGGAGGCTGAGGCAGGAGAATCGCTTGAACCCGGGAGGTAGAAGCTGCAGTGAGCCGAGACCATGCTACTGTACTCCACCCTGGGTAACAGTGAGACTCTGTCTCAAATAAATAAATAAATAAATGAAATTTAAGTTATTCAAAATAAGCCTACCTGATATAAAAATAAAATGTAGACTAAGGAACTCATGATTGCTAAAAAAAAAAAAATGAATGAAGGCAGTCAGGACTGTTTTAACACTGGGGCTCTTTTTAAAAGAAAAGGGGGAAAAAATCTTTGATTTAGTAAACTTTAAAGGGTTTTAAAATGTCATTAATTTTTTATTGGCGAGTAAGACCCAAATTGTTTAAGAGTAATTTTATTTTTAATATTGTACTCTCAGACACACATGTGAATTGATACAGGTTAAATTAACGGAATAAGATTAGTAACTTTTTGGTGGTGGGAACAACTAACTAACTGTTCATTGCTCCAAACTCAAGGAACACAAAAATTCCAACTTACCTTCACCTACAACCCCAAGGATCTCAAATTTATTCATCACATTACCAATGTTAGGAATCTTCATGAAGACAAACTCCTCTTTTGATGCAAGCCATAAAACATGGCACCAAAAGAACTTCTTAGAAAGCTGTGCAGTTAAGAACAAAAACCCTTCTGAAGGAAGAAATTCTCACTGGTTGGTGGGAGCTTTCACATATCTGTTCTAATCATCAAGTATTAAATGATTTCCTGAAAAAAACAAACACAATTAAAAGCCATAAGTTTTATATTTACAGTACTCTAATAACCTATCCTACCTTTTTAGTTATTTTCAATCCATTTTAATGTTTTATACATTTAAAATGAAGAAGAAACCAACAGTAATAGGAGGGAAGAATCCAAAATGGAACGAATACAAACAAACAAATGAGCCTCTCTGTATTTGAAATCATTAATATAACCATACTTTAGGGGATGAGGGCAAATGAATTAACCACAGGTAACTTTTGAAAACAGCATTTTCACTATCTACTCTCCTAAGGCTAAAAACAAAAAGAATTATAAACAAATACTATACTCTACTTACATACCTGCTTTTATACAGTGACATGAAACTTGTTTGTGTGTATGCTAAGATTGGGCAAAGAGGTAAATATTCTGTGAATATACTGACCTTGGTTTCTTAGTCTCATAAAAGGGAGTAACAAATATAAAAAGGGAGGAGGCTTGGAGTTGGAGTTAACAATACAAGCTGTTTTTTTATACAGGGCTATAGAAAGATATAAATATTTTTGTGTAAATATACACTCACATACCTATATTCCCTAGCTCCGTCTGCTGAGAAGGCCTAGAAGCAATGATACCCCTATAGCTATGAACACAGCTGGTGCTCTAATAAAAGGAACTACGGTTCCTTGAAGAAATGGCTGATTCCAAGGCTAGGGCAGGAGACGTACAATAGGAGCCTAGGGTATATTTTTGTGGAGCCAGAAAGGAAATGCTCAAAGAATGATAGGGGTACCTCAAAAGGACACAGGAATCAGACTGATGTGACTCCCAGTGGCCTAACTGGGAATATTCGAGCAACAAAATAAATAAGCACAGTAACAGATTATAACCCATATAATTTTTTTTTTTAAGTGCTTACTGACATAA